AGAAATGCATCAGCTGGCCAAGGCTACTCTCAGATACCCAAGGAGGTATCTGCTTCCTTCAGCTGAAGAAGACCCTAGCCATCGTCCCCGCTTCCCATCAACTCCAATCCCCAGAGGTTTAATGGTTTCCCCACCTCTTGCATCTTGTTCTCGTCGCTGTTCATGATACGAATGCGTAGCACCAACTTCTCAGCATTGTCATCGTTGAAGATGCAGTTGAGGTCATCTCCAAAGCCTGCGGAGCAAGAAGAAGAAGAAAGGTTGTCCAACGGGCTGCCGGTGGACACGGGCAAAGGACAGAGCGAGCTCCGGCCGTCAACCCTGACTCACCAGCATTGATCTTCTCGGCAATCTGCTCCATGGTGAGCTTGCGGTCTGTCATGTGCTTGCGGTCCAGCTCCACCCTCAGCAGCCAAGGGGAGATGCGGGTGACGTCAAAGTCGGGCATCTCGTAGTAGACGTTCACCCACTCCTGGTCCTCAGCCACCACGGTGTTCTGAGGGTTGGGGTCGTAGTAGATGGCCGTGTTGGCCGTCACCTTGCGAAGGGTGGTGTGCTCCAAGCGGCAAAGGATATCCTGGGATGGAGACACGCGGAGATGGTGAAAGCTGGAGAATCAACCTTGAAAGCTACTCTTGCAAGGGGGGGGTCTACCTCTACGGTTTGGCCACCCATTTGCAGTTGGCTCTCAAGAGATGGAGGGAGAAAACGTCGGGGGCACAACCTACCACCGTCAGCCTAAAATTTAGCTCCATCCTGAGTTAGGAGAATGATCTCCAGGCACCTTCTGAGATGCCCTCATACTCCACAGCCAAGGCCAACTTCACCACCAACCCCCTTTCTTCTCCTCACCTTGGCCCTCTCAGCGTCACGGGCGGACTGTCCCAGGAGGAAGACCGTCAGGGAAGGGGTCTTGGGCTTTTTGGAAATGTTGATCAGTTCCTTCAGCCGAGGCACCCCAAGGGTCACGTTTTTGGCCGAGACCCCAGCGTAGTGGAAGGTGTTGAGGGTCATCTGGGTAGCAGGTTCTCCAAGGGACTGGGCGGCCAAGGCCCCCACCATCTCACCAGGGTGGGCCTGTGGAAAAATGACAGCCGGGAATATTTCCTGGACCCGAGGCCGAGTGTGACGGCGCGTTAAGTTTGGAAAAACAAAGAGCTTTTATTACCACAGGAAGTCCTCGAGTTACGGAGCCTACATGAAATTGGTCATGCGACCGACCTGATTTTATGATCCTTTTTGCAGCGGCCGTTAAGCAGACAAATAGTTTGCTGTGGGTACAGCTTTTGCTGGTTTTCAACGAAACCGTTGTAAAACAGTCATTAGAAGAACAGGGAATCATTATAGATTGGTGGCCATACTTACAGATCCAATCTAAACATAGTAAGGATATGGAAGAGCACGGAATAAAAATCAGACCCCACAGCAATTGGATAAAATTTTAACAGGTAAGGAAGGAAAATGTCTAACAAAAACTTATAAATATTTACTAGAGATAGATTTGGAGGAAGAAATAGTCAAAGGGCCAATGATGTAGCATGGGCACGCAATGTGGGCCGAAATATAAAACTGGAAGAATGAGAAAGATTACGGAACAGAAATTGTAAACTGACATTGTCAACTGCATATATAGGGAAAATCAATATAAAATGTTCTATAGATGGCATTTTAACACCGGCGAGATTGGCTAAAATGTACAAAAATAGGAATCCGGAATGCTGGAAAATGCAAAAATAAGGAGGGAACATTCTATCACATGTGGTGGCTGTGCCCTAAAGCAAAGATCTATTGGGAACGGATAAGGAACTGGATACAGGAGATAACAAAGGTGCAATCTGAACTCAAAGGTGCAATCTGAACTATTTCTTTTGGGTATAATAAATTTGAAGATCAAAAAGCAACTCCAACACATCATTATACATATATTGACAGCAGCCCGCACAGTATATGCCCAGTGTTGGAAAGGTGAAAACTTACCTACAAATGATATGATTATATATAACAGTGATGGCGAACCTTTTAGAGACCGAGTGCCCAAACATTAACCCAAAACCCACTTAGGTATCGCCGGGTGCAAGGTGGGTGTGGCTACAGTGGTCATGGCAGATGGGTGGGCGTGGCCAACTTGATGTTGCTCCTGGGGAGGGACACCTGTGGGGGCCGGGCAGGGTTGGGGGAGATCCAGGGGGTCTCTGGTGGGTGGGGCGATGGACAGGAGGCTGGTCCTGCAGGGTGAGGCGAGGCAAGGCGAGGCAGGGAGGGAGTGCCATTGTCGCAGGGCGAGGCAGGGGCCTGGCACCATTGGCCCCCGCACACAGAGGCCAGCAAGCGCATGGGTGCTGGGATGCATCCGGCCATGTGAGACCTCGGCGAGTTAGCGGGCGGCTGGTTGAAGAGGACGGTTGCCATCTCCGGGGCATGGCGCGGGTGCCCACAGAGAGGGCTCTGAGTGCCGCCTCCGGCACGCGTGCCATAGGTTCGCCACCACTGATATATAAAATACTAGAATGCGTGGAAATGAACAAACTTACGCTAGAACATAAAAGACAAGGAGGCAACAGAATTCTACGAGATATGGAACAAATGTTATGATTGGCTAGAACAGAGAAACAAAAAAAATTTGATTACTAATGTAAATAACTGTAAATAATATATATGAGATGTATAACACAGTACTGTTAAGGGGAAAAATGTATTTTTATTTTTGTTGTACAGTGAAAAAGGAATAAATAAAATTTAAAAAAAAACAGTCACACGACTACACGACATGGCCGTGTAGTCACGTGACGGGGAGCTAACTGGAACTATTGTAACGCCTCTCTTTTAAAAAAAATCACTGAACGACGAGTCGCAAGTTGAGGACCTCCTGTGTGTTTGATGAACAACTAACTTCCAGCTTAGCGACTCACCCGAGGCTAGATCAGCCGTCTGTTTCTCTGGGCATCCGTCACAAACCTGGACTTCAGTTCCCAGAATTACCCAGCAGCACAGCCATCAGAGGAGACCTCTGAGAGTTGAGGTCCACCCCTCTGAAGGTGGCCCAAGATAAGGGGCTTGCTTCAAACGTGGCTTGCTTCAAACCCACGTCAGGCCAGATTGGAGGAACGGAGCTACTAAAAAAAACGGAGGAGAAGCTTCCTAACCCCTCGTGGATTCCGTTACAGGAAAGGGAGCAGCAGCCAAGATAAAATTATGAATCTTGGGCCGGGTCCCAAGGAGATTCCGGCCATCTTCTGACCCCTTTTAAAGCCAGGGCAATATTTTCCACCCTCAAACAATCAGGCATGTGTTTACTTCCCATCGTGGAAACCGAGCTGGAGCAGCAAGGAATTCTGGGCCGTTTAGGGTCCCAGGGGGCCACTCCTTGGCTAGGCTGAACGCCTCCCCCCCCAGGGGAAACTCTGCCCCCCTCCCTGCCCTGTTTCCACAGCTGTTCAAGATGGAAACAGGAACGTGCAAAGAGAGAAGTTTAGACTTTCGAGCAGAACTTCAAGCAGGATCCCCGGGAACTGAAAACAGCTCGGTTTCACTTCTTCCTGCCTGCTTTTTGTCGGGCAGGTGTGCTTCCTTTTTGTGTGTGGGTCTCAGTTTCCCAGTTGCAATGTTATGGCTGTGAAAGTTGGACCGTAAGAAAGGCTGAGCGCCAAAGAATGGATGCCTTTGGACTATGGTGCTGGAGAAGACTCCTGCGAGTCCCCTGGACTGCAAGGCGATCCAACCGATCAGTCCTAGAAGAGATCAACCCTGACTGCTGTTGAGAAGGCCAGATCCTGAAGTTGAAACTCAAGTCCTTTGGCCACCTAATGAGAAGGAAGGACTCACTGGAGAAGAGCCCGATGCTGGGAAAGATGGAGGGCAAGAGAAGAAGGGGACGACAGAGAACGAGGTGGCTGGACGGAGTCCCGGAAGCAGGAGGCGTGAGCTTCAATGGACTCCGGAAGATGGTAGAGGACAGGAAGGCCTGGAGGAACGCGGTCCATGGGGTCGCGATGGGTCGGACACGACCTTCGCAACTAACAACTCAGTCGGTACTCACGATGGCCTGGTTGAACTTGGATTCGATTTCTCCCAGCAGCCAGTCAAAGGCTTCCCCGCTCAGCCGGAATTCCTCAATCATGCGACGGCTGCAGAGCGTGGAACGCAAGTGGATGTTGAAGAGCAGGGTGGCGTTCTCCTGGGCCTGCTTGCTCAGCGGGTCGTCGCCGTTCACAATCACCAGCTTCTTGCTCAGCTCCTTCACGCCTGGGAGGGAGGAAAGGAAGAAATCCATCCATTTCTCATTTTTTAGAAAAGCTACTACAGAGATATGCCCTCGACGTACAACAGCTCGTCTCGCGACCGTTCCGATTTTCAACGACATGGGAAAAAGTGACCTACGACCGCTTTTTTTCAACGTTGTGACCGTTGCAGCATTCCCAGGGTCACGCGATCAAAATCCGATTCCCCCAGCTCAGAAAAAACAGGGATGGGTCCTCTCGCTTTCCCAGGCTCCAAAACTCCTCCTTATTCTGCCCAGGGATGCGTTGGTTCCCCCCTCCCGTGCCCCCCCAGACTCACCTTCCACCACCTTGATGGGATGCAAGTCGGAGGGGAGGCGAGTGTTGATGTGGAAAATTTTCTGGGCGTTCCAGATCATGCGCAGCAGGTTGCAGGGGAGGACCACCTGTGGCAGGAGGGAGAGTCACCTGTTAGTATCGTTTTTATAATGAGAAACTTGGAATCCTGCGTCCGGTTTTGGTCGCCACGATGTAAAAAAAGATGTTGAGACTCTGGAAAGAGTGCAGAGAAGAGCAACAAAGAGGATCAGGGGACTGGAGGCTAAAACGTATAAGGAACTGTTGCTGGAATTGGGTATGTCTAGTTTAACGAAGAGAAGGACGAGGGGGGACATGATAGCAGGGTTCCAGTATCTCAGGGGCTGCCCCAAAGAAGAGGGAGTCAAGCTATTCTCCAAAGCCCCTGAAGGCAGGAGAAGAAGCAACGTATGGAAACTAACCAAGGAGAGAAGCAACCTGGAACTAAGGAGAAACTTCCTGACGGTTAGAACAATTAACCAGTGGAACAACCTGCCTCCAGAAGCAGTGAATGCTCCAACACTGGAAGTTTTTAAGAAGAGACTGGACATTCACCTGTCTGAAATGGTATAGGGTCTCCTGCCTGAGCCGGGGGTTGGACTAGATGACCTCCAAGGTCCCTTCCGAGTCTGTTGTTCTGTTATTCTTTTCCTTCCTTCCTTCCTTCCTTCCTTCCTTCCTTCCTTCCTTCCTTCCTTCCTTCCTTCCTTCCTTCCTTCTCCAACACTGGAAGTTTTTAAGAAGAGACTGGACATTCACCTGTCTGAAATGGTATAGGGTCTCCTGCCTTAAGCAGGGGGCTGGACTAAATGACCTCCAAGGTCCCTTCCGAGTCTGTTATTCTGTTATTTTTTTCCCTTCCTTTTCCTTCCTTCCTTCCTTCCTTCCTTCCCTCCCTCCCTCCTCCAACACTGGAAGTTTTTAAGAAGAGACTGGACATCCATTTGTCTGAAATGGTATAGGGTCTCCTGCCTTAAGCAGGGGGCTGGACTAAATGACCTCCAAGGTCCCTTCCAAGTCTGTTATTCTGTTATTTTTTTTCCTTCCTTCCTTCCTCCTTCCCTCCCTCCCTCCTCCAACACTGGAAGATTTTAAGACGAGACTGGACAGCCATTTGTCTGAGACCCATTAGGGTCTCCTGCCTAAGCAGGCGGTTGGACTAGATGACCTCCAAGATCCCTTCCGAGTCTGTTGTTCTGTTATTCTTTTTTCCCCTTCCTTTTCCTTCCTTCCTTCCTTCCTCCCTCCCTCCAACACTGGAAGTTTTTAAGAAGAGACTGGACAGCCATTTGACTGAAATGGCATAGGGTCTCCTGCCTAAACGGGGTTGGACTAGATGACCTCAATTTTTCCAATATCTGTTATTCTGATAACACCTGTCCCTGGCATCCCGTGGGCCAAGATACTCCTCCTCCGACGCTTCCGAACAGAAGCCTCAAATGGGCTTTTCCCTCAGTTGTGTGATGGAGGGGGGGCTGGCAGAGAGCACCGCATGGCAAGCCTCCAGAGCCCCCCCGGTTCCTGGAGGAGTGGGGAGGTACGTGCAAACAGGAGGGCCGCTGGGGCAGAGGGGGGGGTGAGAAGAAGCCTCACCTTGCTGTCCCCTGTGGGGAAGATGACCCTCAGCACCTCCCGGTCCTCCTTCATCTTCTCAAACTCCCTCTCCAGCTCGTTCTGGATGTGGGCGTTGCTCAGGATGTCCTTCACCATCTCCTCCTGCAGGGTGCGCCGCAGAGCCCGCTCGTTGGCGTAATCGAACTTGAACCTGGGGAGGAGGGAAGCCAAGGAGGATTCCTCAAATGGCAGAGGTGTGTGTGTGTTTGTGTGTGTGTGTGTGTGTGTGCGTGTTTGTGTGTGTGTCCTGTTTGGGCAGAGGTTGGACTAGAACAGGGGTAGGCAACCTCGGCTCTTTTAGGACTCGTGGACTTCAACTCCCAGAATTCCTGAGCCAGCCATGCCTTTCCCCCCCCCCCCCTACCTCCTATAGCAGAAAGATTGCAGAGGAAGGGATGATAAGAGAGTAAGCACATCGACAGGTAGACGCATCCTGCTGACTCAGGAATTCTGAGGTTGCCTACCCCTGACCTCTGTGTCCATCAGTGCCAATGATTGACAGCTCTTCCTGTCCACAAGTCCTTCTTAATGCCTCATCTATTGAAGTCTCAACTCAGTTGGTCTAGGCCAGGGGTAGGCAACCTCGGCTCTTTTAGGACTCGTGGACTTCAACTCCCAGAATTCCTGAGCCATCCATGCCTTTTTTCCCCCCCTCCTACCTCCTATAGCAGAAAGATTGCAGAGGAAGGGATGATAAGAGAGTAAGCACGTCGTCGATGGGTATACGCAGCCTGCTGGCTCAGGAATTCTGGGAGTTGAAGTCCACGAGTCCTAAAAAGAGCCAAGGTTGCCTAACCCCTGGACTAGAAGACCTCTAAGGTCCCGTCCGGCTCTCGTAACAGGCAGTCCTCGACCTGAACCCAAAATGTACGTTGCTCAGGGAGGCATTTGTTAGTTTTGCCCCACTTTGCAACCTTTCTCGCCACCGTTGTTAAGTGAACCATCGCAACGGTTAAGTCAGTAACACGGATGTTGGGCGAGTCTGAATCCCTCCTCGACTTTGCCTGTCGGAAGGTCGCAAAAGGAGGAAATCACGTGACCCCGGGGGGGACGCTGCGCCCGTCATAAATACGAGTCAGTTGCCGAGCGTCTGAATTTTGATCACGTAACCACGGGGACGCTGCGACTGTCATAAATACGAATCAATTGCCACGCGTGACCACGGGGACGCTGCGACGGTTGTAAATACGAATCAATTGCCACGCGTGACCACGGGGCTGCTGCAACCATCGTAAATACGAGTCAATTGCCACGTGTGACCACGGGGTCGCTGTGACCGTTGTAAATACGAATCAATTGCCACGGGTGACCACAGGGTCACTACGACGGTCGTGAAGTGTGAAAAACGGTCCCAAGTCGCTTTTTCCCCCAGTGATGATGTAACTCTGAATGGCCACTAAATGTACTGTTGTAAGTTGAGGACTGCCTGTATCCTATTACTCCGTTATTCGAGGTGACTACATGGCTGCTTAACCATTCTAAACGATGGCTTCCCCAGTCTTGGCAATTTTAAGATGCGTAGGCTTCCCTCACAGGGGTGTTGTGGGGAAAAGTAGGAGGGGGGGAAAGGATTCTTGGATCTGCTGGCACTGTTTACAGAAATAAATCCCGAGAAGCTTTCTCCGAAGAGAAAGGAATGGCAAACAAACCCAGGAGCCCCCCCAACGAGGCCGGCCGGGCCGGGACCCCCCCAACATGAAAGAGGACTCACTTCTTCTCAAAGGCCTTGTTGGAAGGCTTGAGCGTGGCCAGATTCTGGAACTCGACGCTCTCTCCGGCCAGCCCATCCTCGCCGTAACGCAGCTGCACCACCTGGTTGATGGAGTTGCGGACGGTGGCGTCGTACTTCACCATGACCGACTCCATGGACTTGATCAGCCGACGCTGGATGTAACCTGGTTAAGAAGCGGCGGAGATCAGAGTAACGCAATCACAGAGCCGGGAGGGACCCTGGAGGTCTTCTAATCCAGCCCCCTGCTCGAGCCAGGAGAGCCCTAGACCATTCCGGACAAATGGCTGTCCAGTCTCTTCTTAAAAGCCTCCAGTGTTGGGAGCACCCACAACTTCTGGTGGCAAGCCGTTCCACTGGTTAATTAACAGAATAACACGGTTGTAAGGGACCTGAGAGGTCTTCTAGTCCAGCCCCCTGCCCGAGCAGGAGACCCTATGCAATTTCAAACAAAATGGCTGTTTTTAAAAACCTCCACCCACAATTTCTGGTGGCAAGCTGTTCCACTGGTTAACTGTCCTCGCTTGTCAGGAAATTCCTCCTGAGTTCCAGCTTGCTTCTCTCCTCGATCCGTTTCCACCCGTTGTGTCTCGTCCTGCCTTCGGGCTGCTTTGGAGAACAATAGGGGGACCCCCCTCCTCTTTGGGGCAGCCCCCCCAAATATTGAAATGCTGATGAGTCCAGGGCAGCTCCAAATTTGAGGGATTCCCCTTCTGGTCCCACTTTGCGACCTGCCCCTTGTGCCGGAGAACATCTCCCACTCTTTTTCCACCCCGGAGCCGGACTCAACCCACGCCCGACTCACCCGTCTCGGCCGTCTTGACGGCCGTGTCGATCAGCCCTTCTCGGCCCCCCATGGCGTGGAAGAAGAACTCGGTGGGGGTCAGGCCGGCCAGGTAGGAGTTCTCCACGAAGCCCCTGCTCTCCGGCCCGTAGTCGTCCTTGATGAAGTGGGGCAGCGTCCGGTGCTTGAAGCCGAAGGGGATGCGTTTCCCTTCCACGTTCTGCTGACCCACCACGGCGATGACCTGGGGGGGCAGGAGGGGGACAGCCCCAGTCAGGCGAGATTTCGGGGGAACCCTCACCTCCCCAAGCCTCCAGTTTGCTTATTATTATTATTATTATTATTATTATTATTATTATTATTATTATTATTGAGGATCATCATGTTCAGACTGGATTTGGCATTTTTGTCTACCTATCGAGTCCTTACCAAGGACCTGGGATATGCAGATGTGGATATTATTATTGTTATTGTTGTTTTATAAATAAGGGTGAATGGCAAATGTGGATATTATTATTATTATTGTTGTTGTTATTATTATTATTATTGTAGGGTTTCCTGCCTGAGCAGGGGGTTGGACTAGATGATCTCCAAGGTCCCTTCCAACTTTATTATTATTATTATTATTATTATTATTATGGATCATCATGTTCAGACTGGATTTGGCATTTTTGTCTACCTATCGAGTCCTTACCAAGGACCTGGGATAGGCAGATGTGGATATTATTATTGTTATTGTTGTTGTTATTATTATTATTATTGTTATTGTTACTGTTACTATTACTATTATTATGGATCATCATGTTCAGACTGGATTTGGCATTTTTGTCTACCTATCGAGTCCTTACCAAGGACCTGGGATAGGCAGATGTGGATGTTATTGTTATTATTGTTGTTGTTGTTTTATAAATAAGGGTGAACCTTATCCAATGCTCCTTCTTCCTATTTTCCCCACCACAACAGTCCTGTAAGGTGGTTTGAACTGAGAGAGGGACTGGCCCAAAGTCACCCAGCCGGCTTTCCTGCCTAAGGTGGGACTAGAACTCACCGTCTCCTGGTGATTGGCCCAAAGTCGCCCAGCCGGCTTTCATGCCTACGGCGGGACTAGAACTCACCGTCTCCTGGTGATTGGCCCAAAGTCGCCCAGCCGGCTTTCATGCCTACGGCGGGACTAGAACTCAACGTCTCCTGGTGATTGGCCCAAAGTCACCCAGCCGGCTTTCCTGCCTAAGGCGGGACTAGAACTCCTTGTCCCCTACTTTCTAGCCTGGCGCCTTCACCGCTAGACCAAACTGTCTCTCAAAATCGATTGTACCTTGAACCCTGGGCCCTCAGATGAAAAAGCCCGATGCTCTGGCGACTGAGCTACCCAGAGGTGGGTGCGAGGCGGGTCCTACCTGGGAGATGTTGATTTTGGAGCCTTTGGCCCCCGAGACCACCATGGACTTGAAGTTGTTGTACTCGGAGAGGGACTTCTGGGCAGAGGAGCCCGTCTTGTCGCGGGCGTCGTTCAGGATGCGGTTGACCTGGTTCTCAAAGGTCTGGCGGAGGGTGTTGCCCGGGGTGGGCTCCAGCTCGTTGTTGTGGGCCTTCTCGATGACCTGGAGAAGGGAAGGGAGGGCGGGTGGGGGGCTCAAGGCAGGGCCCAGGAGACAGGCCTGGCTTTTGAAGGCTGACCCTCTCCCTCTTTCCTTCCCATCTCTATTCCTTTCCTTTCCTTCCTCCCCCTTTTCTTCCCATCTGTATTCCTTCCTCCTCCCTTTCCATGTATCTCCTCCCTTCCTATCTCTATTCCTTTCCTTCCCTCCCTCCTTCCCATCTCCTTCCTTCCTCCCTCCCTCCTTCCCATCTTTATTCCTTCTTCCTTCCTTTCCATATATCTCCTTCTTTCCTGCCTCCCTCCCATCTCTATTCCTTTCCTTTCTCCTGCCTTCCTTCTTCCCACCTTTATTCCTTCCTTTCCCTTTCCACGTATCTCCTTCCTTCCTCCCTCCTTCCCATCTTCATTCCTGCCTCCCCCCTTTCCATGTATCTCCTTCCTTCCTTCCTCCCTTCCCATCTCTATTCGTTTCCTTCCCTTCCTCCTTCCCCCTCCCTCGCTCCTTCTTCCCACCTTTATTCCTTCCTCCCCTTTCTTCCATGTATCTCCTCCCTCCTTCTTCCCTTTCCCATCTATTCCTTTCCTTCCCTTCCTTCCCCCCTTCTTTCCATTTTTATTCCTTCCTTCCCCTTTCTTCCATGTATCTCCTCCCTCCTTCTTCCCTTTCCCATCTATTCCTTTCCTTCCCTTCTTTCCATTTTTATTCCTTCCTTCCCCTTTCTCTGTATCTCCTCCCTCCCTCCTTCCTTCCCATCTCTATTCCTTTCCTTCCTTCCTCCCTTCCCTTCCTCTCCTCTTCTCCTTTCCATCTATCTCTTTCCTTCCTTCTCTTCCCTCCCTCTTCTTTCCCTTCCTTCCTCCCTCCCTCCTCGGTGGTCTCTGAGCTGGGTGGCTTTCTGGCAGACGTTTCGTGACCCAACTGGGTAACATCATCAGTGTTAGAAGGGAGAGGGGTGTGCAGAGAGGAGGACGAGGACGACTGTGGGGTCCTTGGTGGTCTCTCAGCTGGGTGCTTTTCTCGCAGACGTTTCGTGACCCAACTAGGTAGCATCATCAGTGCCAGAAGGGACTGAGGTTAAGCAGCATTGGTGTTCCCTAGTTGGGTCATAAAATGTCTGCCAATAAAACAACCTAGCTCAGACAGTGCCAAGGGCCCGACATTGCTCCTCTTCCTCCCCTCTGCAAACCTCACTCCCTTCTAGAATGGATGACGTTACCTAGTTGGGTCACAAAACGTCTGCAAGAAAACAACAGCACCAAGAACCCCACAAGGAACGAGTCTTTCCCTTTGTGGGGGGACCCAGCACCCGGTCCCGGCATCCAATCCCTGTCTTATCAGCCCCCTGGATCCGGGGGGGGGGTGTCTTTGCGGCTTGCTCCCTACCTCAATCACATCCTGCTTGGCTTTCTTGATGGTGTTCTGGATGTCCTGGTAGGTCTTGGCGTCAGCGATGGAGTCACCAATGCCAATGGTGTGTCCTAGGAAGGAAGGAGAGCAGCGATTTGCAGGCCGGAAAAAAAAATCATCAACAATAAGCGTTCGCCTCCCTTAAGCGCTGTTTGCTGTTGGGTCCTTGGCATTGTCTGAGCTTGGTTGTTTTATTTGCACACATTTTATGACCCAACTAGATTAGATAGACAGACAGACAGACTAGATAGATAGATAGATAGATAGATAGATAGATAGATAGATAGATAGATAGATAGATAGATAGATAGATAGATAGATAGATAGATAGATAGATAGATAGATAGATAGATGATAGATAGATAGATAGATTAGATAGATAGATAGATAGATTAGATAGATAGATAGATAGATAGATTAGATAGATTGATAGATAGATGATAGATAGATAGATAGATGATAGATAGATAGATTTATTAGATAGATAGATTAGATAGATAGATAGATAGATAGATAGATAGATAGATAGATAGATAGATAGATAGATAGATAGAGCATTAGATGTTAAGTAGGTAGGTAGATGGATAGATGGATAGGCAGACAGATAAATAGGTAGAGATTGAATTAGAATTAGACAGACAGACAAAAGACAGACAGATAGACGATGGATAGATGAGACAGATATTGATAGATAGATAGATAGATAGATAGATAGATAGATAGATAGATAGGGCATTAGATGTTAAGTAGGTAGTTAGATGGATAGATGGATAGGCAGACAGATAAATAGGTAGGTAGAGATTGAATTAGAATTAGACAGACAGACAAAGACAGACGGACAGATGATGGATAGATGAGACAGATAGACAGACAGACAGAGAGAGATGATAGATAAGAGAGAGAGATAGCATTAGATGTTAGGTAGGTAGGTAGGTAGATGGATAGATGGGTAGGCAGATAGGTAGGTAGAGATTGAATTAGAATTAGACAACAGACAGATAGATGATGGATAAATGAGACATATAGATATAAAGAGAGAGAGAGAAAGAGAGATGATAGATAAGAGAGATAGCATTAGATGTTAGGTAGGAAGACAGATGGATAGATGGATAGGCAGATAAATAGGTAGAGATTGAATTAGAATTAGACGACAGACAGACATGATGGATAAATGATAAGATACATATAAATACAGTAGATAGGGAGATATAGCTAGATAATAGCGATAGACATAGGGATAGATAGATAGATAGATAGATAGATAGATAGATAGATAGATAGATAGATAGATGAGAGACAGAGATAGAGATAGATTGATGGATGGATGGATAGATAAGTAGGTAGGTAGGTAGCTATAGATAGGTAGATAGATGATAGATAGGTAGGAAGGTATAGATAGGTATGTATGTATAGATATAGATAGATAGATAGATAGATAGATTAGATATAGATGACAGATAGACACAGAGAGAGACAGACATGATAGACAGACAGATTGCCATTGGATTCTCAGAAAAATATCCCATGTGATACCAAGATGCCCACTGATGCCCCCTCCTCTCCTCCCCCCCCCCCGTGGCTTGAGGACAGCCCAAAGCAGCCGCCCTCTTTTCCAAGGAACGCCCGGAACGCTTCCCCAACGCTCGGGGTGTGTGTGTGTGGGTGTGTGTGTGTGTGTGGGAAGTCCCAGCCGCCCAGCCAGCCGGCCTGACCTTCGATCAGCAGCCAGTTGTTGATGACCGTCTGGATGTTGCTGTAGAAGAGGCGGGTGACGTCGTGGCCCATCTCCAGGTAGGAGATGTGGACCAGGGAGCCGGCCGAGGTGCCCAAGGATTTCTTGCACAAGATGCCCATGATCAGCTCGCCGTTCTCCACGATGACCTGGAGATGGGAGAAGGGGTGGAGTCAAGCCTGGCCCTCGATCCAAAGGCCGTAGGATGGCGGGCTGAAGCAGCACCCCCCTCCCTCCAGGTAAGTTCCCAGGAGGGCTACCCCAAAAAAAGTACTCTCCGGCCATCCCAAAGGTGCTTTTTCCAGGAGGCAATGGGACTTTCTGGTGTTTCTTTCGAAGATGTTTCTCTTCTCCTCCAAGATGCTTCTTCAGGTTCTGACGGGATGGTGGGGAAGGGAAGGATTTATACGCCTTGCAGAAAAACTGGTCATTTGCACCCTTTTGGAGAGTCGCTGAGGCCGCTCGGAGGTTTATCTGTGTCCTCAGGGTCACCTGAGTGGCGCAAATGGGTGTGGAGCCTTTTATCTGAAGACATTTCACTTCTCCTCCCAGCAGCTTTCTCCAGTTCTGATTGGAGGGTGGGGGAATGGAAGGATTTATACTCCTTGCAGACAGCCGGTCATTTGCATTTTTTTAAAGAGTCGTTGAGGCCGCTTGGAGGGTTACCTGTGTCCTCTGGGTCACCTGAGTGGTGCAAATGGGTGTGAAGCCTCCTTGGCTGCAGGGACCCCAGGCAGAAAATATCCTGTCGCCAAGAAGGCTCCCCACCCATTTGTGCCACTCAGGTGACCCAAAGGACACAGGTAAGCCTCCAAGTGGCCTCAACGGCTCTCCAAAAGTAGGCAAATGACCAGCTGAAGAAGCTTCCTGGATGAGAAGAGAAACATCTTCAAAAGAAACATCAGAAAGTCCAGTTGCCTCTTGAAAAAAGCACCTTTGGGAGAAACCTCCAAGCGGCCTCAACGACTCTCTAAAAGGATGCAAATGACCAGCTCTCTGAACGGAGTATAAATCCTTCCCTTCCCCACCATCAAGTCAGAGCTGATGAAGCATCTTGGATGAGAAGAGAAACATCTTCAAAAGAAACACCAGAAAGTCCAGTTGGCCCCTGAAAAAAACACCTTTGGGAGAAACCTCCAAGCGGCCTCAACGACTCTCTAAAAGGATGCAAATGACCAGCTCTCTGAAAGGAGTATAAATCCTTCCATTCTCCACCATCCAGTCAGAGCTGATGAAGCTTCTTGGATGAGAAGAGAAACATCTTCGAAAGAAACATCAGAAAGTCCAGTTGGCTCCTGAAAAAAGCACCTTTGGGACCACCAGGACCGGGATGACGGAGAATAACCCCCGTAGACATTTTGCTCTCCAGCCATCCTCCATCATCCCTGGTTGGGGCCAAACACTTCCAAGAGGTTGGGTTTTCTGTAGGGTTTTTTTACACCCCAAAGGGAACCCCCGCCCCTTTCCCGGCAACTGGGCTAACCTTGGTGTCTCCGGGAGAGATGTGCTTGTACGGGCCGCTGTCTTCGTCGTCCGGATGGGTGCTGTGAGTCCGGACACAGTTGATATGTCCCGGGATGATCAAGGAGAAGATCTGCTTGCCGGTCCAGAGCGGGCGAGGCTTCAGGATGGCCGGTTGGGGCACTTTGCCGTCCCAGGTGGACAGGAACATCAGCAAATTCATCACTTCCCCCTGGGAAGGGGAAGGGGAGGATTAGGGGCAGGAAGGGAGGAGCAGACCGAGGTCACGACCCACGTCCTCCCGTCTCCGACGCTAACTCTATGGCAGAGATGGGCAACTACGGCGACCTGCGGGACTTCAACTCCCAGAATTCCTGAGCTGGCGAGGTTGATCGGTCACTGAATGAATGTGTCGACACTACTAATGTCGGATGTTCTTGCTTTGACAACATATGGAGATGCCACCATTTTCCTTCTTATGTTTTACTCTTAGAGTTAGATGATGCCGGGAAGAGGAATGTGCATGAGAGTTTAGCTAGACATAACAACGCTGAACCTAGCGTGAGAACCAAGGCTATTGAAATAAGAGACGATAAGGATTGGCGGGGTTGGAGAACTGGAGGGGAAGCCTGCATTTCAAGCTAATTGGGGAATGTGATTTGTGACTGTTAATTGGAGGAGGGAATTGTGCTTGGATACTATGTGCTCAGGGGAGGGGAATTCAGTTTTTGGCTTCGATTGTGTTAGTGCCGATGTTATGTTACTCAAAATAAAGATTCTTTAAGGTAAACAATGCCTCGAAGTTCTTTTGAAGAGTTTCCTCTGTCGGAACCAGGACAGAATGGTTTCCAACCTGTAGTTGCCCACCTCTGCTCTAGGTCCCGTTCCTAGCCTCAAACTGGCCAGTCCTTAACACAGGCAGTCCTCGACTTACGAGGCTTTTTTTTTGAGGGACCGTTCCAAGTTACAACAGCACTGAAAAAAGGACGTTTTTTCATTCTTACAACAGGTCCCGGGATCAAAATGCAACGGATTCGTATTTACGACGGTCGCCGCCTCCTGGGACCACGGGATTCCCTGTTTGCAAGCTTCTGACCGCCGAAGTCAATGGGGAAGCTGGCGTCACTTCACCGCCGTGCAACTAACTCAATCACGGCAGCGATTCGCTTAACAAACGAGTCGTAAAAGGGGGCAAAATTTACTTAACAACTTGTCCGGCTTAGTAAACGGAAATCTGGGGTTCGCTTAAATAAATGAGGCGGGCGAGGTCGTAAAAAGGGGCAAAATTTACTTAACCACCGTCTGGCTGAGCAAGGGAAATCTGGGGCGCCGCTGACCAGTCCCTGTGGCCGTTAGATCGCAAGGCCTTACGTCGTAAGCCGAGGACGGCCTTTTAATTGAGGAAAGAGTAAGGAGGCTGAGCAGGCTTTCCTTTCGCTCCAGAAACGGGCGTTAAACGAGAGACCCTCACCCTCTCCAGGAAGACGTCCCTCTTGGTGAACTTGCGGACCGCCGTCAGCGTGTCCTGCACGATGCCCATGACGGGCCGGTTGGACTGGGGGGTGACGATCATCCGGGGGACCATGGCCAGCTCCTGGATCTCCGCCCGGGTCTCCAGCGACTGCGGGAGGTGGAGGTTCATCTCGTCGCCGTCAAAGTCGGCGTTGTACGGGGTGGTGACGCTGAGGGGCGGAAGGAAGACAGTCCCCGTCAGGATAGGGGGGGGGAAGGCCACGGGTTCGGCCCCTTTAGCAAGCCGAGGCCACGGAAGGAGGAGGGCCAAGTGGGAGGAAACCCAGCTCTGGAGGAGGATCTGGGATGGCAAGGGGGCCTTTCACAACTCAAGAGGCCAGAGGTACAACTCCATCCTTGTCAATCATTTGAAAAAACGTCATGCGGCCCAAGGGGTGTTGCATGTTAACACTGGACTCTGGAGGTGATAGGTGCTCTCTGAGCTGGGGGGTTTCCTTGCAGACGTTGCGTGACCCAACTAGGGAACATCATCAGTGCTAGGAAGGAGTGGGGTTTGTGGGGAGGAGGAGAAGGAGGAGGAGGAGGAAGACGACGACGACGACGACTGTGGGGTCCTTGGTGCTCTCTGAGCTTGGGGGTTTTCTTGCAGACGTTTCATGATCTGACTACACAGCATCATCAGTGCTAGAAGGGAGGGAGGTTTGCAGAGAGGAGGAGGAGGAGGAGGAGGAGGAGCTAATCATCAGGACACGGTGAGTTCTAGTCCCGCCTTAGCCACGAAAGCCAATTGGGTGACTTTGGCCCAATCACCAGGAGACGGTGAGTTCTAGTCCCTCCTTAGGCATGAAAACTAGTTGGGTGACTTTGGGCCCAGCCCCAGGAGACGGTGAGTTCTAGTCCCGCCTTAGGCAGGAAAGCCGGCTGGGTGACTTTGGGCCAATCACTAGGAGACGGTGAGTTCTAGTCCCGCCTTAGGCACGAAAGCCGGCTGGGTGACTTTGGGCCAATCACTAGGAGACGGTGAGTTCTAGTCCCGCCTTAGGCAGGAAAGCCGGCTGGGTGACTTTGGGCCAATCACTAGGAGACGGTGAGTTCTAGTCCCGCCTTAGGCACGAAAGCCGGCTGGGTGACTTTGGGCCAATCACCCAGAGACGGTGAGTTCTAGTCCTGCCTTAGGCACAAAAACCTACCTAACATGTAATTCTCTCTCTCTCTCTCTCTCTCTCTCACACACACACACACACACACACACACACACGGTGGGACACAAATGGGTAAACAAACGCAAATAAATAACGATTCTTTCCCGAAAAGCGGCCGACGAGGGAAGCGGAGCGGTTCAAGGCCCACCTGAGATTGAGTCGGAAGGTCGACCAGGGCAGGATACGCACTCGGTGCCCCATCATGGACATTTTGTGCAACGTGGGCTGCCGGTTGAAAATGACGATGTCCCCGTCGCACATGTGCCGCTCCACCTGGGACGCAGGGAAGGAAAGCTCAGCGGCTCAGCCGGAAAGACGGAGGGGGAGAGAAATCCACGGGGCAGAGGACAGCCCCCCTCCCCCCAAAAAACACACACACACAAATCCACACCCCACAGCTGTGCTTAGTGGGCCAAAGGAAGCAAAAGGACAAGACAAGCTAACAATTTGCCAATTTGTCCTCCTTTAAAAAGGGGTGTCCTCGGTTTACGACCATGTTCAAAATTACAACGGCACTGAAAGGAGCGACTTACGACCGGTCCCCCACACTTATGCATCGATACGGCCTCCCTACTAGGGTCGTGGGGGTCAAAATTGAGGCGCTTGACACAACCGGCGTGCGTTCACACATCGGTTGCAGCGTCCCGGGGGGGGGAGGGTCGCGTGATTCCCACTCGTGGCCTCCCCAGCCAGCTTCCCCTAAGCGGAGTCAACGGGGCAAACTGGATCCGCTTAATGACCGCAGTGTTCACTGCAGCGATTTGCAAAAAAAAAAAAAAAGGCTCGTAAAACGGGAGGGCGGCTTGCTTAACGACCGCCTTGCTGAGCAAGCAGAGATTCGGTCACTAAACCGAGGACTACCTGTAGCCTTTTGCGCAAGCCCAGAGTTGGCAGGGAAGATAACCCGCCCCGCCCCTTCGGATCCATCCCTCCCCTTCCTTGGGGGGGGGCGTTATCTGGGTTCGCTCCAAAGGATCTGGGAGTTAGGGACACCCCCTGCCCCACTGGGACCAGTCCCCCACCCCCCCTTTCCCAGCCAGACCAACCTTGTACCCGATCTGCAAGTGGAGGTCGCTGGACTTTGGGTGGAAGCGGAGATCAATCCGGTCCCCGTTGTGCCGGATGATGTACTTGGCACCGGGATACTGACTGTTCCCTCGGCTCACCAGCTCCTGCAGTCTGGGGGGGGGGCGGGGGGGGGGAAAGGGGGCATCGGTGGCCATCTTTGTATCACATGGGATATTTTGCTGAGATCTATCTATCTCTTTATTTCTCTCTATCTTTATTTCTCTCTATCTTTATTTCTCTCTATCTTTATTTCTATCTATCTATCTCTCTCTCTTTCTCTCTCTCTATGTCTATCTCTCTCTATATATATGTCTATCTTTATATTTCTATATTTCTATCTTTCTATCTATATCTATCTGTCTATCTTTATTTCTATATCTCTATCTTTTTCTATCTATATCTCTCTATTTCTCTCTCTATATATAGATATGTATCTTTGTCTATATCTATATTTCTATCTCTATTTCTCTTTATTTCTCTCTATTTCTATCTCTCTCTCTCTCTATGTCCATCTCTCTATCTTTATTTCTCTCTATATATATATATATGTCTATCTTTATCTATATCTATATTTCTATCTGTCTATATCTTTTTCTCTCTCTATATATATATATATATATGTCTATCTTTGTCTATCTATATCTATATTTCTATATTTCTATCTAACTATATCTATATCTTTATTTCTATCTATCTCTCTATATGTGTCTATCTTTATCTATATCTATATATCTAACTATATCTATCTCTTTATTTCTATCTATCTATATCTAATCTCTCTCATGCTATTTATCCGTCTGTCTGTCTGTCTGTCTATCTATCTATCTTTATATCTATCTATATGCCTATCTATATCTCTTTATTTCTATATATCTAATCTCTCTATCTCTCTATCATGCTATTTATCCATCTCTATCTGTCTGTCTGTCTGTCTATCTCTATGTCTATCTATATCTTATATCTATCTTTCTATCTCTCTATCTCTCTATCATGTTTATGTCTGTCTGTCTGTCTGTCTGTCTGTCTGTCATCTAATTCTAATTCAATCTCTATTTATCTGCCTATCCATCCACCTACCTACCTAACATCTAATGTTATCTCTCTCTCTCATCTCTCTCTATCCTTCTATATCTATATATATATATCTATCTGTCTCATCTATCCATCATCTGTCTATCTGTCTGTCTGTCTTTGTCTGTCTAATTCTAATTAGAGGGTCAAAGAGACAGCCAAGACCAGCAAGAGCCTGTGTGTGTGTGTGTGTGTGTGTCGGGGGGGTGTCCATCCCCGGGCCCTCACCTGTCGATGTTGAATGGCGCCACGATCTCCGCAAAGGTCATGTTGGCGGCGATGGAGCGCGGCACGCCCACCTGGTCAATGGAGAGGTTGGGGTCCGGCGTGATGACCGTCCGGGCGGAGAAGTCCACCCGTTTGCCCATCAGGTTCCCTCGGACCCGGCCTTCCTTGCCCTTCAGACGCTGCTTCAAGGACTTCAGAGGCCGGCCGGACTTTTGCATCGCCTGTTAAGTTGGGAAGGGGCAACGGCAGAGCGGGTACATCAGGACCCTCTTGGCACNTGGAGGTCGCTGGACTTTGGGTGGAAGCGGAGATCAATCCGGTCCCCGTTGTGCCGGATGATGTACTTGGCACCGGGATACTGACTGTTCCCTCGGCTCACCAGCTCCTGCAGTCTGGAGGGGGGGGGGGGCGGGGGGGGGAAGAAGGGGGCATCGGTGGGCATCTTTGTATCATATGGGATATTTTGCTGAGAATCCAAAGACATTCTATCTATCTATCTATCTATCTATCTATCTATCTATCTATCTATCTATCTATCTAACTAACTATCTTTATTTCTATCTCTATTTCTATCTCTATCTCTCTCTCTCTTTATTTCTATCTCTCTCTCTCTATATATATATATATGTCTATCTTTGTCTATATCTATATTTCTATCTCTCTATCTTTATTTCTCTCTCTATATATATATATCTAATTTTGTCTATCTATATCTATATTTCTATCTATCTTTATTTCTATCTATCTTTATTTCTATCTATCTCTGTCTATCTCTATCTTTATTTCTCTTCATTTCTCTCTCTTTATTTCTATCTATATATCTCTATGTATCTATCTATCTTTGTTTCCATCTCTCTCTCTATATATTGTTTGTCTATATATCTATATTTCTATCTACATCTATCTCTCTGTCTATCTATGTCTATTTCTATCTCTATCTTTATTTCTCCCTCTCTATCTTTATTTCTATCTCTCTGTATCTATCTCTCTGTCTATCTCTCTATCTTTATTTCTATCTCTCTCTATATATATATGTCTATCTTTATCTATATCTATATTTCTATCTATCTAATCCATCTATATCTATCTCTTTATTTCTATCTATATATCTATCTAATCTCTATCATGCTATCTATCTATCTATCTCTCTCTCTCTCTCTCTCTATCTATCTCTATCTTTATTTCTATCTATCGATATCTATCTCTCTAATCTATCATGCTATTTATCCCTCTCTCTCTCTCTCTGTCTCTATGTATATATCTTATATCTATCTTTATATCTCTCTATCTTTCTATCATGTTTATGTCTGTCTGTCTGTCATCTAATTCTAATTCAATCTCTACCTATTTATCTATCTGCCTATCCACCTACCTACCTAACATCTAATGTTATCTCTCTCATCTCTCTCTATCCTTCTATATCTATATATCTATCTATATCTGTCTCATCTATCTATCATCTGTCTGTCTTTGTCTGTCTAATTCTAATTAGAGGGTCAAAGAGACAGCCAAGACCAGCAAGAGCCAGTGTGAGTGTGTGTGTGTGTGTCGGGGGGGATCCATCCCCGGCCCTCACCTGTCGATGTTGAATGGCGCCACGATCTCCGCAAAGGTCATGTTGGCGGCGATGGAGCGCGGCACGCCCACCTGGTCGATGGAGAGGTTGGGGTCCGGCGTGATGACCGTCCGGGCGGAGAAGTCCACCCGTTTGCCCATCAGGTTCCCTCGGACCCGGCCTTCCTTGCCCTTCAGACGCTGCTTCAAGGACTTCAGAGGCCGGCCGGACTTTTGCATCGCCTGTTAAGTTGGGAAGGGGCAACGGCAGAGCGGGTACATCAGGACCCTCTTGGCAC